TCAGCAAGTGAAGTATGAACACCAAAAGTCAGGAGGTATGACTCAGAGGATGACCATACCTGAGTGGAAGTGGAAGTGTATTGCTATGGATTTTGTAGTAGGATTTCCATGTACCTTGGGTAAGCTTGATGTTATATGGGTCATCGTGTATCGGCTGACTAAGTTTGCACACTTCATACCAGTTCAGACTACCTATAATTTAGAGAAGTTAACCTAGCTCTATATTCGAGAGATAGTTCTCTTGCATGGGGTTCCCATTCCTATTATTTCATATCTTGGCACATAATTCACATCTCATTTCTAGTGGTCGATGTAGAAAGAGTTGGTCACTCGGGTGGATCTTAGTACGGCCTTTCACCCTCAGACTGATGCTCAGTCTGAACGGACTATTCATGTTCTTTAGGACATGTTACGAGTCTGTGTGATCGAATTTGGCGGTCACTAGGATCAGTTTTTGCCTTTAGTAGAGTTTGCTTACAATAATAGTTATCATTCGAGCATTGAGATGGCACCATTTGAGGCTTTGTATGGAAAGAGATGTCGATGTCCAATTGGTTGGTTTGATGCATTTGAGGTTAGACTATAGGGTACAGATTTGTTGAGGAGGTCCTTAGATAAGGTCAAATTGATCCAAGATAGACTTCTCGTGGCTTAGAATAGGCAAAAGAGTTATGCAGATCGGAAGGTTCATGATTTGGAGTTCATGGTTGGAGAGAGGGTTCTATTGAAGGTTTCGCTCATGAAGGATGTGATGAGATTTGGAAAGAAGCAAGTTGAGCCCAATGTATATTGGTCCTTTCGAGATTGTTGAGCATATTGGTGAGGTGGCGTATGAGTTGGCTATACCACCTAGTTTGTCTAGTGTTCACCCAATATTTCATATTTCGATGCTGAAAAAGTATCATCAGGGTGATGCTCATGTGATTCAATGGGATTCTGTGTTACTTAATCAGAACTTGACTTTTCAGGAGGATCCAATAACCATCTTGGATAGGCAAATTCGGAAGTTGAGGTCGAAGGAAATTGCTTTAGTGAAGGTTCAATGAAAGCACCGTCCGATGGAGGAGGCTACATGGGAGACTGAGTCAGACATGAGGATTAGGTATCCTCAACTTTTGGAGCGTTCCTGTACTTTTGATTCTTTGACCGTTCGAGGACGAACGTTTGTTTAAGTGGTAGATGATGTAATGACCCGTTAGATCGTTTTGAGCACTAGAACTATTTTGACTCTTCCGGTAAAATATTTAAATGGGATCTTGAGTTATGTGTTGACTTCGGATATTTAGTTGATAGATAATATTTTTTTAAAATAATTAAATTAATGGGTAGTTAATGAGCCAAGCCTATTATTTATTTGATAGCCTATCTCACTTGGCCCATGTGTTGAAATAACTTAGTGGGATTTAATATCTTTATATCAAAATTTGAGTAAGTAAGAGAAAGAGAGAGGATAAGGAACGCCGCAAGACGAGAATGACTTCAAGTAAAAAAAACTTTTCTTCAGTCGGCTTATACTTTCTGCATATACGCGTTGATATAATTGTTGGTGAGAAAGAATCAAGTGAGAATGCTATTTATTTGTTGCCAGTGAATATGTTAATGTTAGATGCAAATATAGGTTAATTGAAAGTTAATTAATTTGTAATAATTATTAGGCAATCATTAGACAATGATTGAGAAGTTTGGAATGGAAAATCAAATTATAGGGGTATTGGTGTTTGGGTAAAGTTCTACCAATTTTTTGCTTTCGTGAATTATACGCTATGCTCGCATATTTCTCCTGATTTCCTCTTATTATTATATTAAAATTCAAGTTTTGATATATTGAGAGTAATATTAGGTGTATTGCATTATGTGAATATTATCAGAATTATGTTATTTGGAGGAATTATGATTTAATCATAGGCTTGAATTTTAGGAAGTATGAGACTTGGTATGTTAATTGTATCAAGTTTAGGAGCTTGATTAGAGATATGGAGGAGTTTTGGGTCTAGGCTAGACATATAGTAATTTGGGTGTCTACAGACTCATTTATTTATGAATATTGCATATGTGATAGATTGGGAACGCTCTGAAGCTTTATGAAAAGGAAAGACAAAATCTTGAGGATTCGAGGCACGTGTTCGACATTCAAGGTATGCTAAGACTTTTAGACTTCGTTGAAGGACATTTTTTTCTAATTGAAGATTAAATATGGAATAGACAATGGGTAAGGGCGAAATATGGGGGTCTTGTACACTGGTGTGACGGGCATTGGTACGAGTGTTGGTGTTATAAAGGGAAAGTTTATTACTATAGAATGCCGGATTGTAATCGGAGAATGCCAAAGCATATGGGCATTAGCTGATAGATTATTGACTTGATATCTCTTGTGTGATTGTGTTTCCTTATTGAACCTGTATATGTGTGATAGTTAAGGTGATTATATATCACACCGATATTTGATTGATTGAGATGCATCATCCCCTTTTATTGAAATCATATTGTGCATATACATTGACATGTGATTATGTATAAGTTGGGCACGAGGAGATCGTTCGTGCTGGGGATTGTGAGATGTAATGATTATAAGTTGGGCACATGGAGATCATCCGTGCTGGAGATTTTTTAATTTTATGATAGTGCGTTGAGATCGTCCACATAGACACGTGGAGATCGTTTGTGTCTGTTTATGGGCCTCGTAAGTCTCCATAGGTCATGAACTCTCGATGTATTTTCGAGAAGTATCATGCATATACGGTTGAGAGAATACTTGGCATCTGAGGCATATCATTTCATAATGTCACATTGCATTGTATTTCATTACATCCTTCATTCTTGTTGATTATGTGCTTTATTGATGGTTGGACATTACGTGACACTAATTTTCCCTATTTGATTAAACTTGTTTGATCAGTATAATGTAGCCTTGCAAAAGTAAAAAGATGATTTTCTTAAATGAACTCCTGACATCTCTTCTTCGTTGTCGTGCTATGAGATATGCTTGGTACATATGGTTTCGTATTCATACTACACTTGTTGAACTCTTTTGTGGTGCAGATCCAGTTCCGAAAATGAGTGCATCCCGTGGAGATTTTTGAGTCCGAGCTTGGAGTATCTTGGAGTTCATGTGGTGAGTTGTTTGGCTGTTCCGCAGTCCACACCTCCTTCTGTTTTATTATTTATTCTGTTGCTTTTGTATTCTGACAGGATATTTGTTATGTTTAAACTTGTCATTTTAGTTTCAAACTTGCATCATATTTTAGACGCTCTTATACTTGTGACACCAAAATTTTGGGTGGTATTTAGTTTTCCGCACTCCATACTTATGAAAGACTTAATATTTGAGGTATTCTACTCGTTGTTTACTTTTTCACCTTAATTATTTAGTTAAATTGGTAAAACTAGTGGACTGGCTTACCTATCGATTGGGAACATTGGTGCCATCACGACATGTGAGTTTTGAGTCGTGACCGTAAACCCAACATCTTATCAATATTTGTCTCAAGATGTAATATCTTTCACTTTTACAAAAGTATTTTACTCCTTCAAAAATCAAATGATTGAAATTTCCAATATATGCGTCAATGCGGTTAAATTGTCCCCCCCCCCCCACACACACACCCACACGCACACACACATTTGTCAACTTTCTCGCTTCAGCTTCGAGGCTTCCTTGTTTTTGTTCTTAACCATACGAAGGCAAGCAATATTATTCCAACCCTCTTAAATTTTCAAGATCAAGTTTGAACACCACATGTGAAGCCATCTAGTGCCTATCAGTATTTGGTAGAGTCTCGTGCTAATAACATGTTATGAAACTATATAAAATAATAAGAATAAAGTAGGGAGAAGGGAGAAGACTTTTTATTCCTCTTGAAGAAATTATTTTACAATGAAGAGAACCCTTCAATTTATAGCAGAAAATTCACTTGGTCCCAAAGGTAGGGTTCCTAAATTCTCTAAAAGATAGACATTCACTATATTTATAACAATTACTCAATTTTAGAAGACTAAGCTACAAAGCGGGCATGTTTTTTTTTTCATTCAGACAAGATATGACCGTAGGAAAAGCTGAAAATTATTGGCGAAGTTAGAAATTTCACAAAGGGTGTACAAGCATTACATAAGTAAAAAAAAAAAAATATATATATATATATATATAAATAGGTGCACAGAAAAAATTAAAATTGAATTATGTAATATTAATATTATTTTATGAATATATGTTCCAAAATTTTAAAAATTCAAACTGCATGATATTTAGCTTTAATATTTGTGTTTAATTTAATATGAAGTGAACGAACAAAAAAAAATTGGAGGGGGGGGAGGGGGGGGGGGGGGCGTCGGATGACAACAACAATAACAGGACATGAAAAATAGTAGTAGAATCAAACGAGGTCTTCTTCTATTCGCTTTTAGCAACGGTTATAGAAATATGTAGAATTTGTTTATTACCTTTGAATCAAATAATTACATTTAAGTTTTATTCAAGTTTTGATGAAGAGAAATTAATAGTCAAATTCATTGAAAATTCAATTAGCTACTAAAGTTTGATATTTTTAAATGTTAAAATTTATTTATTAACTTTAAATAAAATAATTACATTTAAATTCTATCTCAAGTTTTAATATAAAAAATTCAATTGGCTACTAAACTATCATTTTTTAACTAAATTTTTAAATTGAAGATTTCTAATTAAGAATAATTTTGATGAACTGGAACTCGCCTATTTGAACCTGCACTCGCTAGTGTGGGCAACACAAGCAAGCCTCAAGCCATTGGGCCACATAACATGTTGTGTTAGGGATGTCCGAAATATAAATTTAACCGATTTGAGTGGCATTTTACATGTATATATGGTATAATCATCTGATAGAGATCCAATTGGCAACCCTCGGCGAAGGATGTCCAATTGAACACACCTAAGACAATATAGCTCCACCCCAGCTTAAAACCCATATCAGATATATAGTGCTCCACTTGACCTAATTTTTTATGGTACAAACTCAACATAGTTAAAATTAAGCCTTAATATATATAAAATCTTAGAACCCATGTTAGTTCCAAAACAAGATAAGTAGGAGCATCAAAAGTGCTTTAAACCATCCAAAAGGCAATCTTAGTTGCAGTCTGCAAAAATATATACAGATAGCAAGCAGACAACCAGAAAAGCTAGCTGTTGTCATTGTTAACACAAAACAAGGATAGTTTCATATAGAATGCAGAACCCATAAGCTTCAGTCTTTGATAGCAGACACCGATGATGACTGAGCTTCATTACTATGATCCTACAAGACGGGGCAAAGGAAAAAGTTCCATAAGGAGAGAGATAAAGAGTGATTAATAGATCATAATTCATAAACAAGACATTAATGAAAAAACCAAGTAGAGGTAGCACTGGATAAAATACAAATTTATATGATCCATCACAAACATTCTTTGAGGGAAATGTCAACAATAAAAATCAAATTAAAATCTTTCAAGCATCTCAGCTCAAAATAGACAAAAAGGGTCTTCGAAGACCAAGCTAGTGGTAGTAGACTAGTCTTTTCTAATGACAAAATAGACAAGGCAACTGTTTATCATATACTTCTACATATCAACAAAGCCAAATTAGTGTATAAAGCCTATCGGAGTAACCATTAAGTATTGGTTCAGAGAATTATATAGAGCTATTTTAGTTTATTTACGTGTTCAGTTATGCACAAGTCACAACAGTACGTGATCCACCTGTTTTGTACCACCACATTAGGGACACATGATATCTCATATAGAGCAAAATTATCTGAAGAAATAAAATAAGAGAAAATTAAAAAGTAGAAAAAGAGGAGAGAAGCCAGAAACATAAATTACAGTCCAAGTCGAGAAGGATTCAGTTATTGTTAATGGCACAAGACATGATTTTTTCAAGTCCACCAATGGTTTAACACAAGGTGATCCGTTATCTCCCTCACTCTTTCATTGTAGGAGCTTAAGTACCTATCCAGACTCCTAAATCAGTTGGAACAGAAATGAGGATTTTCACTTTCAAGCCTTGAAGTGAAGGATCCGAGCAGAAGATAAACAAAGCGAAAATATGTTTCCCACCACTCCTAACACTAATGAGATGAAATCAATAGGCTGACTGAACACATAGGCCCTTTCATGTACTTGGGTTGTCCTATATATGTCGGAATAAAGGTGGTATACTTCACTAATATGGCTATGGAGATGTTTGAAGTTAATGTTGAGAATTGAGATTACATATTTTGATGCCAGTATTACTTTGTCATACTTGGATATAAAATCAATTAATCCTTGTGTTTCTGGAGATTGGAGAGACTGCTAATATTTTATGTGTATCATCAAGTGGCTATCTGATTTTGTTCTGGAGGTTGAAACATATATGGCTCCAGAATGAGTACTAGTATCTCTTCATATAAGATGTGATGCTCTGTCTTGGTCATTGACTGCACATAACTAGAGTTTCTTTGCCCCACTAATGTCACTACAGAGCATATGACACAAGCTTACGTGGCTAAGATAAGCATCAAGATCAACTTGGCAAAGTAGAAAAAAACAGTACTCGGGTGGAATAAGATATTGACAGATAATCCAAAGAAGAGGGATTCTGGCAAGCTGTGCAATATGAGGGTGTTCCAGACTTTGAACAATATTATAGATGAATGTCAGACTTTACTGAAATGGAAGAAATTGATCATGAGTAAAATGAACATCATTTACACATAAAATGAGAAAATTGCAAAAGAAACAAAACTATATTGTGTTGTTCTAGTTGAGAATAAATACAGAAAGCTCGAGGAAAGAACCAAAAAAGGTGTTTGTGAAAATATTCCCAAGACCATCTAGCAACCAGAAAAACAATCATAAAAACAAATCCAGTCAACTGAAGAAAAGGTACAGCCAACGGGTGGCAAGGCAGTTGTTGCCAATAAGCACACTCTTCAAACAATGTCTCTACATACACTAGCTGCTAAAGATCCTCCTACAACTGTGTTGACGCTTATCGAGAGATTTGGTGAACTTCCTTTAAAAGGAAAGAATGGAAAATGAAGTATCAGTGGAGCCCATGTATGAATCTTTCTTCTAGATCTGTGGAAGAAGATCCCATGTTGCCTTTAAAAATGGGCCCCTGACAGGAAGATGCATTAGCCAAGTGGGGTGCTTCATTACAGGAAATGAAGATTATATTCAAGTTTGAAAATCTACCAAGAGAAGCAAAGTGTCCATCCAAGCTAAACAAGTATAATTCCCCAATTTAAGAATCACAAGTCAAAGAGAAAGACTACTTACTCAGAATAAGTAAGATTACTTTTGTGAACTCAAATCCAAATGGAAGGAGTCTATCCAAATTTATTGCTTACTTGGTTTATGTGTAAATAGGAATCCTCCTACTATTCTTTGGAAATTCACTGTGGCTATACTATCACTCCCCATTTATTACCAAAGATATGTTCCCAGATGTAGTTAAGGTCTAGTCCCCATACTTCTATGAACTATTTTATTGTTTATTAATATACAGGATAGGGCAGTGGCAGATATACGGTGTAAGTTATGACTTACGAGTTCACATGAGACCCATGGCTTTTGTATATATACATATATATATATATATATATATATTAAGAAATCGATGACCAAAGTTATTAGTCTAGTATTAACTTGAGAATTGAGGTAGGAACTTATAAATATCAATCCTAGATCCGCCTCTGGGGTAGGGGTCAGTGCCAAACCCTGCCACCCCAAAAGTGGATTTAAGTAAAAAAAACATAACTAGTTAAAATAGAGCTTCCTGTGTAACCATTAGCTTTTGGTTCAGAAATATGCAAATGGTGTTTTAATAAATTAAGTTTCTCTTTTAGTTGGCCCAAGGGTAAGTGTGCCACTGTGTGCCCTAGAACTTCAATAAAAAAATACCCATTTGACAAAGGGAGGTAAGAAATCACACATTAGAGGACGGTTGACAGCAGAAAGGATAAAATTAATATAATAATAAAAAAGAATAATACTCAATACTTGAACAAGAAAACAGAAAAGCACGCATTCATTTGAAGGTAGAGTTGGCTACTTGAAAGCCTCAAAAATGATCTCCAGCTCCTAACAGGGGAAAATGTCAGCATATAATAGTTACTTACTATATACGGATGATAGGTTTGCTTTGAGAACTCTAATAAATTCAAAGTAGCAATACCGCAGGCACAACCCGGCCATTTAAGACTAGGAGCGCATCACCAACAAAAGAGAAGAGATGATCAATGCACCTAGGCGGCCAGCCCATGCCAAAAGTCTAGATACATGTTTTTTAACTACAACAACATAAATGTACTAGATAAGATATGTACAGTATCTGGTCAATGTGTTTGGATCGCTCAACTAATGCTACAACCATGCTGCCTAGAAGTGGTACTAGATATAAATGAAGAGCATATTGAAATGCACAGTAAATGACACGTATGCAATCTTAACCACATGATTAGTAGCTTGTATATTCCACATCTGTGTTTAACAGTTTAGTTATATCTCCATATCCTAAATTTGAAGTCTTCATCATAGCAAATCCCAGACACCTGACACACAACCATGTCCAACATGGCAACATCCATATATTGGTCCAAGTAACATAGGATTATCAAGCAAATATCTGCTACATTTTATTTGTAGAAGTATACCCAAAGAATCTCTAGTCCTAACAATGGAATAACTCCGACTGGAAAATAGTACTTTGTGGCAGTTAGGAACTTTCACTGAATAAGGCACAATAAAACCAGCAACATGGATAGTCTAAAGCTTGGCGGTCCGGGGGGGACCATCATGTCTTCTCTCTTCTCGAGAATCCATACATCCCTAAACCGACATTCGTGGGCATAATAAAATATAGAATTGATAGTAGCCTGGGTTGAACAAATTCAGGCAATATTCCTACCTAACCAAAGCAAGCAAATTAAAGGTATTTAGCTTTAAGCATAAGGGAACAGTCTCTAGATCCATACGATTTTCTAAGTAGTTTAAGTTATTTGATCCACAGTCTCTAGATTTACAAAATTTAAGCCTAAGACAAGACTGCCCAAAACATTTACCAGAAGAGTAGTTAAAATGCTGAAAATCAAAGATCTGAATTTATAATGTACGCGGCGGGAAGCAAATAACTTTCAGCGTATAGCTCTTTCAATAAGATTCAGAATATCTACAGAAAATTCCAAATTTCTCTATAACAATGAACTATAAAGGAAGAAATTGATCCACAAAAGACACCTTCAAAACGGCATTATACTTATCTGAACATCTTGTGAGACATAGTCAGGCCTAGTCAAAGCAGATAGAATTGTTACCTTAATTAAACCATCATAAGCATTCAAAAGTAGTTGTGCGTGCTCTATCTTGGCTTCCAGATAGGCCCTTAATACCACTTGTTCTCGTAGCACCGGAGAATCTTGCTGACATACAATTCAACACACAAAGATGAGACAATTCTGCTCAGAAATGGTATAGGAAAAAAAACAAAAAATAAGACATGGTTATACCAACTCAGGCGAAGTCGCTTTCTCGTGCACCAATTTCCCCAACTTTATCCCTAATTTCATACTTTCTAGGCCAATATCAAGCACTCTTATACCAACTTCATTACTATTTCCTTGCAAACATGCCTTAGAATTTACAACAAGTTCTACATCTTTGGCTAGTCGCTTCAACAAATCTTCCATAGTTTTCCCATCCAGTCCAGAATCGGGGATAATTTTATGCTGCTGAATCGGTCGAATGTTGTGCTTCTTCTCCTTTACCAGTAGATTCTGCTTTTCTGGCTGCCCATTTTCTGGAATGTTGTGCTTCTCCTTTACCTGTAGGCCATTTTCTGGAATGTTGTGTTTCTCCTTTACCTGTAGGTCGTTTTCTGGAATGTTGTGCTTCTCCTTTAGCAGTAGAGAGTTGGAGTTAGGAGGTTGAGTCCAAATTTTCTGACATAATTGGAACACTTGGACTTGGTGCAGGTCTGTATTAGAAGGATTTCCTGTGACAAGAGTCTTTTCATACTTTAGTCTGATACGCCTTATTTTCTCCCTTAATTGGACAGGCGTAGGTTGAAGAGTAAGTGAAGGAAGGATAAATGCACGAAATTCGGCCATATTTTGTGCAACTTCACGAGCTGTTTGTTCCTTGAACTTAATGATACCTGTGAGTAGGGAAATTTCATCTTCATCACTCCACACTTTTGAAAAAAGGGGAGGTTTGGATTTCAGTTTCATCATCCTCTTCGCCTTCGGAGGAGGAGTTTTCTCTTCATCATATCCATCGGAAGGAGTATCATTATAAAGAAACCTTGTCACATCAACATCCTTATTTTTTCTTTTCTTTGACACTATTTCCTCTTCTTCTCTCACAAACTCCACACTACAATTTCCTGAATCTGTGCTTGAATTTTCTGCCATTTTCTGTTCTTTCTTTTTTTGGTTTATGCCCATGGTTAAAGCTTTAGTTCTAGTCAAGAGAGACAGTTTAGCAAGTGAAGAGGCGGAAAAGGACATACTGTACTTACTTGTAATAAATGATCAAGCCGCGTCATTTCATTTGATTTGATTTAGAAGGTGAAAGGTCTAATTTATATTATTTTATTTTTTCAGTAAGAAGCTGAAAAGTCTCTTTATATATCTTGGACCATCTGATCAAAGCCATCATTATCATCTTCGCATAAGACTCTTCGTTAAGTAGGGAACGGTTCGATTTTATGTATTATTAGTTCAATCTATTAAATTTAGTTTAAAATATGATAAGTTAATAATAAATTATTTTATTCTTTAATGACTTAATTTCTTATTTACCCAATAAAAATGCTCATAAATTAAATATATGATTTTTCACTTATCTAATAATTTGGTGTGATATAGCGAAACAAACAAATCAATAGTAAATGTTTTGATATAGTGAAACAAGAAAGATAATGAGATATTGCGTCAATAAGAGCAGATGTAGTACGAAGGCTACAATTACATGTTACAGTCAAAACATAATATGGAATTTCTTCTGTTAAATAGAAGTATTGTGAAGTGTGAACTGCGTAGATTGTAGTATAAAATACTAATATAGTGTCTAGTTATGTTAAATTATTACTTTTTCTATCTACTTTTAGGGCATGTTTGGAAGGACACTCTGGTAATTGGATTTGGTGTAATTGGGTATGATTACACGGTCTGTCATGTTTGGTTGGACAGGTAATTACTTGGTCAGCAGGTAATTGGTGTAATTGGCAAAGGGATTACACTCTCTAATTCACAGTCTCTGGCTGTGAATTGCTTGTAATTACATAGTGTAATTACCAGGTGATTACTTTTTAATTTATTTCTTTTTTTTTTATTTTAAAAAAAATATTACTTCTATTATTTTAAGTTTTTTTTATGTTTATTATTCTAAAAAATTCTAAAAGTTTATTTTTTATTTTATATTATTATAATTTCATTTCTTCTCGTTCTCATCCTTGTTTCATGTGATTCTATGTAATTTTTTCGTATTATCTATTTCTTTATGACATGCTTATTTTCTCATTAGCATAATTCTATTAGTATTCTAATTTTTAAATTAAAATAGAATTTATTGTTAAGTAAGGTTATAGACTTACGTTTTTTTTTAAAAAAAATCATATTTATGTATGCTATGTTGAAATTTGCGATAAGAGTATTATGTTAATTTTTTTGTTTTGAATTTGTAACTTATGTTATATTTTCAATTTCATTTGTTTTAGTAATATTGAATTCACATTGCAAGTCATTTTTTAATTAGACCTGATAGATCATCAAACATGTATTTCACAATGTTTGTAGAAAATTCATACTTTTAGTTTTTATGATCAATTCAATTGAAATATATTGATTTGATAATATTAGTTAAGTACATATGTTTATTAATTAATATATTTTAAAAAAATAATGTATATCTTAAATATTTAATTTAATATCCATCAAACATGTATTTCACAATGTTTGTAGAAAATTCATACTTTTAGTTTTTATGATCAATTCAATTGAAATATATTGATTTGATAATATTAGTTAAGTACATATGTTTATTAATTAATATATTTTAAAAAAATAATGTATATCTTAAATATTTAATTTAATATCATTTATATAGTTTCTTATTTGTCTAGTATAAATTTTAAATTAATTAATTTTTTATTTTTAAAATTTAATATAATATTATGATTGCAATTGTGCATTCAAACATACACATGTTGCATCCAAATAGGGCATGTGTAATTACACTGTGACAACCAAACAGGTCAGTGTAATTACTAGACAATGTAATTACTAGGCTGGTAATTACACTAATTCTAATTACCAAGCGGCTTTCCAAACAGACCCTTAGTTGTCATAATTTTCTTTTTTATAGTCAAACGATAAGAACTTTGACTAACATTTTATGATATATTTTTTCATCATATTGACATGCAAAAGTTGATAGTACTTTTCGTATTAGGGGTGTCCAAAAATTGAACCGACCAATAAATCGCATCGAAAAAAATGTTATTGGGTCATTGCTATTGGGTTGTTGGGTTAACGGGTTTTTATTGATTTTATAAAAAATATATTGGGTTATCGATTTTTAGTATTGGGTTATTGGAGTAAATCAATAACCCATTATGACGATAGTAAGTTACTACTATACCCTACATAAATATTAAATATTAATAATTTAATATAACTAGACATTATATCAATATTCTACACTACGGTCTACACACTTCACATGTCATAATACTTCTACTTCACATCATATTTTCCATATTATATTTTGGTTGTAACATATTATTGTAGCCTTCATACTATATCTACTCTTATTGATGCAATTTCTCATTATATTTTTTGTTTCACTATATCAAAACATTTACAGTTGATTTACTTGTCTCACTGTATCGTGTCAAATGGTTAGAGAAGTGAGAAATCATATATTTATTTTATGAGTATTTTCTTATTGGGTAAATTGAAAACCGAATTGTTAATGACCAAAAACCGATAAAAATGTCTTATTGGTTTGTTATTGAGTTTAGAGTATTCAAAAACCGAAAATCGATAAACCGAACCAACGAATGCACACCCCTATTTCGTATAGTTTTTGAATATCTAATTTTTTTGTTCGAAGTAATGTAATCTGTTTTAACTTTCAAAATTAGTCAAATTGACTTTCAAAAAGCGTAATATGACAACTAAAAAAGAACAGAAGAAATAATATTTAATATTTATGAACGGTAAAATAGTAAATTACTATTATCTTAATGAGTTGTCGATTTACCCAATAACTCATAATAAAAACCGAAATCGAATCGATAACCTAATAATTATTTTTTATCAAATCACCAAAAATCGTTAACCAAAAATTCAATAGTAATAACCCTATAATGTTTTTTTTTCGATTTGATTTTACACACCCCTACTCCTCACATATATCATATTCATCACAATTGAGAACCTTAATTTCAAATTTATTCTCTTTATTTTCATTTATAAAAAAAAATCATGTAAGATATATAGGAGGAAATTCCTTCTAGCAAAGTTTAGGATATATTTAATTTTTATTTATTTAGTTATTTGGTTCTATGATTAATTTCAGTTTTAAATATCTCTTATAGATCTATTTGCTTATTGTAATTGATTTTCTTATTCTTATTTAATTTTATTTTTTTCAATTTTTTAATATAAAAATATGAAAAATAAAAAAGAAAAAATTTAAAACTAAATTTATTACGTTTATATTGTAATTTATTTTTTTGTGTATGTAAAAAAAACGGAGCATTAATGGTAATTTTTAGGGATAAAGGTCTGAAATATATCCTAACTTTGGTCGAATTTGCTGTTGCGACACTAAACTTTCATGAGGACCTATTACCTCCCTAGACTATTTAATACTGCATTTTTTACCCCCTGAACTATTTAATAGTGTATTTTAAAGGTATATATGTGTTCACGTGGACACATTACTATTTATAATTTTGCATTATTTTTTATGTCCACGTAGGCAAATATATATATGTTTAAAATACGATATTTAATAGTGTAGGGAGGTAATAGGTCCTCATGAAAGTTTAGTATTGCAACAGCAAATTCGACCAAAGTTGAAATATTTTTCAGATCCTTATCCCTAATTTTTACGAGGAGTATCATTATAAAGAAACCTTGTCACATCAATATCCTTGTTTTTTCTTTTCTCTCACACCATTCCCTTTTCTTGTCTCACAAACTCCCAACTACAATTTTCCGCCATTTTTTTTAAATTTATTTTTTTTGGTTTAACAATTTTCTGCCATTGTTAATGCTTTAGTTCTATAGCCTAGAGAGATAAATTTAGCAAGTGAAAAGGCGGGAAAAGGACATACAGTACTTTCTTGTAATAAATGATGAATGTGCGTCATTTCAATTGATTTAGAAGGTGAAAGGGCTATTTTATTTTATTTTTTCAGTAAGAAGGTGAAAGGTAGATGCTCTGTATATATCTTGGAACTTGATAAAAGTCATTATCCTCTTCGCATAAGACTTTTAACTCGGTAGATGGCGGTTCGATTTGATGTATTATCAGTTTGAGTAATTAAATTTGGTTTTAAAATATATTAAATTCATAACAAGTCATTTTTTGTTGTTAACGGTTCAATTTTTTATTTAATCAATAAAAGATGTTCATAAAATAAATATATGACTTCTCATTTGTCTAATAATTTGGCACAATATAGTGAAACAAGCAATCAATTGTAAATGATTTGATATGGTGAAATAAAAATGATAATTAAATATTTTGTATCAATAAGAGTAGATATAGTACAAAGGCTATCAATACATGTTATAATCAAAACATGAAATGAAATTTCTTATGTGAAATAAAAGTATTATGAAGTGTGAATTGTGTAGATTGTAGTATAAAATACTAATATAATGTCTAGTTATTTTAAATTATTATTTTTCCATCTACTTTTAGTTGTCATGGTTTCCCTTTTAAAGTCAAATGATAAGAATTTTGACTAACATTTTATGATATATATTTTTATCATATTGATATGCAAAAACTTGTAATTTATAGTACTTTTCCTATAGTTTTTGAATATCTAATTTTTTTTGTTTAAAATATCGAAGTAATGTAATCTAATTTAACTTTGAAAATTAATCAAATTGATTTTCAAAAAGCGCAACATGACAACTAAAAAAGAACGAAAAGAATAATATTTACTCCATATTTAATTTTTGTATCTGTATAAAATGGAGTATCTATAGTAATTTTTACAAGAAAATGTGCGAAAAGACAATTTAACAATTAACATAATAAACCCAAAATAATTAAAAATAATCTTTTTACTCATTTTAGATAAAAAGAAAATATATTTGGGCTATTAGTGTGACAATTGAGGAATATCTGATCCACCTTTGTAAAAGTATATCAACTCTAAATCGATAAGTTGAAGGGTATGTTAAGTTATTTTTCCTTCGTTAAATAATGAGAAAAGACATTAGTAATCCTAATGGTAGAATTTCCAACAAATACTTTTTTATCTTTATGTTGATTCTATTAACCTCGATAAATTTTTT